ACACGGCGCAGCCTCGTGGCGGGCGACGTAGCGCGCTGGCCTGCGTGATGCTATGCTGCTGCTTCATTGGCGCGCTGTCTAGTAGCCGCCAAGGCGCGCTGTCTGGGTCCAGCGATCCTACCAGCCTGGTGCCACCACCGTGGCTTGCGTTGCCCATCGCATCGTTTGGACAGCCATCACGCAGTGGGCTACTGTACCGGTACACTACACGAGCCCAAGGACGAGCCCACCAGCGGACTCATTGAGAGCTGCATGCCTCGTATGCCTGAGCGGCTACCGGTACTGGCAACGCCATGCACCACCGCTCTGAGGGCTATGATGGCCTCGGCTTTATATAGGATGCACCATACCACACAAATGCACCTCGCTTTGCCTCGCGCCACGAGCCCACGCGGGCGCGCCATCCAGCATGTCAGCCATGCGGACCTCGGCCGCTCCCTCGGATCCTCCTTCGTCGCTTCCTTGGCCGTTTGACGCCCAATGTGTAACGCCGTGGTTCCGGATAGTGGACGATGTTAACCGGTTATATCCCTCGTGTTAACGACAAACCGCCGCTCGTGTCACACGCGTCTCGACATTACTACTTAGCACTATTACTTCAATAGCTCCTCGCTCCAAAAGCAACCGCCACGAAAGATACGTGCCCACGTCGTTTGCACCCTATCGGTCCATGCCACACAATATTGTCTTCTGTGCTACAGGCACACAAGCTCTTGAGGCAGCACAGATGCACATGTCCTTGGCTGTACATCAGCTTTTCTCACAGAGTCTCGAAGACCAAGAGACCTTGCCATCATGACGTTAGCTTGGCGCGTCCAACGCCCGACTCATCTTCGTCTCTGCCGTGCAGCTCGATGCAATCTGCGTCGCAATCTCTTGAGAAAGCACAGGAGATTGCCATGTCAAGCGGGCTGTTATCGACTCGATAGCATGCAAGGGAATACATCCCTTGCCCTTTTACTACAAGACGGAGCGACATCTCTGCTTCGACCAAGCGATTGGCCAGCTGCTGTATGTACAAGTGGACACACGATTTCGTCATGGGTGGTTCGATTAGATTCCCTGGCAATAGTGACATACCTCGGAATTTGTATGGCATACACGGCCAGGGCAATGGCACTTGTGGATTTGCAGCCATGGCTTCGGACGCGACCGCGAAGACGCCGACGACGTCGATGGCCGTCGTCTCGTGCTTGGTGTACAGCCTCATGTCCAACGCGATGGTGCTCGCGAACCGCTACATTGTCGGCGCCAAGTACTACAACTTTGCCGAAAAGTCCTTTGTCATCCTCGCGCAGGCCGTCATTGGCGTCCTCGTCCTGGAGGCTGCCAAGGCCCGCGGCCACATCCAGTACGAGAACTTTAGCATGGAGACCGCGAAGCGCTGGGCGCCGGTCACGGGCTTCTTTGTGGCCATGCTCTACACGGGCACGCTCGCGACGGCCGGCCTCCCGATCCACATTGTCACGGTCTTCAAGAACGTGACCAACTTGATCATCGTCTTTGGCGAGTACCGCCTCTTCGGCGAGAAGGTGGGCCCGATGGTCCTCGGGTCGCTCGCCGTCATGCTCATGGGCGCGATCCTCACCTCGTACAGCGACGTGGGCGGCAAGCCGACGGCGAGCACGCTCCTGGGCTACTTTTGGATGCTCATGAACTGCCTCTCGACGGCTGCGTACGTACTGTACATGCGCTACGCGACGTCGGGGTCGACCCTCAAGCTCAGCAAGTTTGGCATGGCGTTCTACAACAACATTGTCGCGATCCCGCTCCTCTTCTTTCCCATGGCATACACGGGCGACGCGATCACGGTCTGGACCAACCCGCTCATGCGCAACGTGCCGTTCCTCTTCCTCCTCTTCCTCAGCGGCGTCATGGGCATCGGCCTCAACCTCGCGTCCTTCTGGTGCGTCAGCGTCACGTCCGCGACGACCTACGCGACCGTCGGCGGCCTCAACAAGCTGCCCACGACCTTTATCGGCGTCTTGCTCCTTGGCGAAGAACTCAAGCCCCAGACCGCCATCTACGTCACCTTTGGCATGATCGGTGGTATGATGTACGGCTACGGCAAGTTCCAGGACGCCGAGGCCGCCAAGCAGGCCAAGGCCCGCGCCAACCAAGCCGAAGAGAACGTGCGCATGCTCGACGCCAAGGTGTAAATCTCCATTTTCATAGACTGCTGCCTCTTCTCGACGTCTTGCCTCGTGCTCTTACATGGAGGCTGCATGGAACTACGGAAATAGGAATCGCATCATCTTCCCGGTCGACAAGCCTTCGACCTTCTGGTGCACAGTGTGGACCAAGTACAAAATGTGGTGTACAGCAACCGGGCGGGAATGCGAGCAGGATGCTAGCATAGACCATCACACAAGACTGCTACTCTATCATAACCCTCGATTGCGCTTTGTTTAGGAGCAGGATGGCATCCAAGCTTGCAAGCGATGCACATTCCAAGGGTCTTGAATAGATAGATGCTAGACATGGGCCTTACACCATAACGTTATTGCGTCCCGTGCTTGGCGAGGCGGCTCTGGAGAAGCATGCTACGCCATCATGAGGTCGATATGACAACCTTGTTGATCGTGTGCACCTTGGGGCGTCGAGGCGGGAGCCTACAGCAGAGAGCACGCATGAGCACCGCTGCCGTGTTGTCGTATGGAGTCACCTGCAATGTCCAAGAACGCGTCGGCGAGGGCCGAGTGGCTCAACAAGTCGATGGAAGCTACCACAGAAGATGCATCAAAGTGCCAAGCATGCAATGGTTGCTACCCGATGTATCGAACGGATGGGCATCGGCGTCGGCGACCGCAGCGCGGAGGTCGTC